GTATGTATGGTATGTATGGTATGTATGGTATGTATGGTATGTATGGTATGTATGGTATGTATGGTGTGTATGGTGTGTATGGTGTGTATGGTGTGTATGGTATGATGGTATGATGGTATGTATGTATGTATGAATGAATGAAAGTATGTATGTATGTATGTATGTATGTATGTATGTATGTATGTATGTATGTATGTATGTATGTATGTATGTATGTATGTATGTATGTATGTATGTATGTATGTATGTATGTATGTATGTATTTAAGTATGTATTTATGTATGTATGTATGTATGTATATGTAGATATGTATACATATATATATATATATATATATATATATGTACGCACATGTGGCCCCCCCCCCCCCCCCCCACGTGAGGATTGTGGAACAGAAGGCAGATACAGCACCGCGGCAAAGGCTTAGGGCTTAGGGCTTAGGGCCTAGGAGTTTCGGTTTAGGGTCTAGGGTTTAGGGTTTGGGGTTTGGGGTTTAGGGTTTAGGGTTTGGGGTTTAGGGTTTAGGGTTTAGGGTTTAGGGTTTAGGGTTTAGGGCAAGTTCATGGTGTAGGGTTCATCTCCACCCCCCACACCCCAACAGCCCTTTAAGGAGGGTCTTGTGGCTGCCTTACTGGAGTGGGTGCTTGTGGCAGCTTACAATGTACTTTGGGGGCTTGGAACTAAGAAATGGAGGCAGAGCTTATGATATCCCGATTGAACACTGCCCTGTCAGGATGCATGTTTTTTTCGCCAAAGGCCTAAGACAAGAGACTTCGGTTTAGGGTTTAGGGTTTAGGGTTTAGGGTTTAGGGTTTAGGGTTTAGGGTTTAGGGTGTAGGGTTCTTTCTTGATCTTCCTCGGTACGACACAGTCCTTAGAAAACACTAGGACTCAAACCTCAACCCAAAGGTCCTAAAGTGCGAGGCTATGAACCAGCAGCCCAGTAGCAACGAGTGTCCTCTGCGCTTTTGTATTCTGCAGCTGCGGGGGTGCATGGTTTTGATTTTAGGGTTTAGGGTTAAGCGAGGCTCACCACAGACCGAGCTGTGGGTAGATGTCTCCTCGGTAGCCCAGCGGTATCCTTTTGAACTTGTCTACCCTTTTTGTGCAGGTTCCCTTAGAGTAGCAACCAGACCCTGAACCCAAAAAAGGGTTTAGGGCTTAGGGCTTAGAGTTTTGTGTTTAGGGTGACTACAATATGGTTCCTAGGCTACCCAGTCTCAATTGCCTGCGGCACCTCTATTTGAACAACTCAACAACCAGCCCAACTGCCAGGCCACCTAGCGAAACCCTAAGCCCTAAGCCCTAAACCCTATTCCCTAAACCCCAAACCCTAAACCCTTGGCCCTAAGCTCTAGGCCCTAAACCCTATTCCCTAAACCCGGAACTGCTGAGGAGTCTGTCCACAGCCGCGCTGAACTTTCGCGGCTTCTGGTGGAGGCCCTAAGCCTGCCTGCCTTGAATTTTGGGGTTTGGGTGTAGGGTTTAGGGTTTAGGGTTTAGGGTTTGAGGGCTCAGGAACTCCTTCAACCCCTATAATTGCCTGTCACTCCTGACCCTCGATGCCATAGAGCCCTAAGCCACCCCCTTACACCCTAAAACCTTAACCCTTAAGCCTATAAATCCCTAAACCCTAAACCTTTCAACCACCTCAAGCCTAGCCGCTATGTTTACCATCCTGCACCATCCTGCACCCTTAACCCCAAACGCCAGCCCTCAACCCTAAACGCCAAACCTGAAACCCTCAACCCTCAACCCTCTGACCCCAAGCCTTCTAAGCCCTGAAACAGCTCACCTGCCTCAGGTTGCAAGCAAGGAAGAATTCGAACGGCTCAAGGCGGGCAGATTTCGGCTTGAATGTGTGTTTAAGCTTTCAGGGCTTTGTTGCTAAACCCTGTGTGGGTTGCGGGTGGTACAGCCTTTAGGGTTATTTGTGCTTAAGGTGTGATGAGGGTTTTCATTGGGGGCTTGGAGTCTCGTGTCTACGGCCCAGGGAGCGCCATCTCTAAACGCCTTAGACTTTGGACTCTCCTCACGCCAAACCCTAAACTTTCTTTCCCTAAACCCTATGCCCTAAGCCTGAAGCCCGAAGCCCTAAACTGGAGCCGAAAGTCATTAGACCTCAAAGCAGGCTTTGACACATTTTGGCTTCAGGCTTGGACTAGGAGGGTTCTTAAGAGAGGGGGTTCCAGGGGTTCAAGAGGTTTAGGGTTCAGGGTTTAGGGTTTTGGGTTGAGGGTAACCCAAGGTTCCCTAACACTCCCCAATACTCCCTAAGGCTCCCTAAGTTTCCCTAAGGTTCCCTAGGCACCTACCCCTCAAGAACCTCCTCTCTTAAGGACCCTATATCTTGAGGTGTGCTCAGGTGTCTAGATTTACACGTTCACTAAAAACGAGTACAAGTATCTCAAATAGACAGTATTCTGCAAACCCCTAAACTAAACCTTAAACTCCAGACACCCTTATTAAACCCCACCCCCTAAACCTTGTTTGACTCCTTTCGGTGTCGGATAGGCCGCGCTGCTTCTAAACATTCAAAACTTTCTAAAGCCTTAGACCCCCTATGCCCTAAAGCTTATAAACCTTCTAGACCGTCTAGACCTTCAACGCCTAAACCTTCTAGCCCCGAAACCCTAAAGCCTAAACCCCCTAAACCCTAAACCCCAAACCCTAAACCCTAAACCCTAAAACCCTAAACCCTAAACCCTAAACCCTAAACCCTAAAACCCTAAAGCCCTAAACCCGAATCAACTCTCCAGCCTGCCCCAGGAAGCCCTACAGAAGAAGGCGGAAGCACGCCGCTCGAACTGCACACGGATCAGCCCGAAAACCCCAGAGCCCAGGACCCTAAACCCTAAACCCTAACCCTAAACCCCAAACTCTAAACCCAGAGCCTAGAACCCTGGACCCCCGAGCTCCAAAGCCTCAAAAGAGCCGAGCCCTAAGCCTCAAAAGGGTTAGGGCTTAGGGCTTAGGGTTTAGGGCTTAGGGCTTAAGGCTTAGGGCTTAGGGTTTAGGGTTTAGGGTAGACTCTCACCCTAAACCTCCCAACTCTCAACCCGAAACCCTGAGCCCTTAGGCCCTCAACCCTGAGCAAAGGGGTGTTGCATTGCTTTTGGAGACCTGCAGTCGATAGGAGAAGAGGTCCTGAAAGGGAGAGTTTTAGGGGACACAAGAAAGGACCCCTAATCTTATCAACATACCCCCTAAACCCTCAACCCTCAACTCTAAACCCAAAGTAAACCCTAATTAAACCCTATTCAAAATAGTCCCCATATATAGCCTTATATAACTTACATGGTTCCCTAAGTAGCCCCTACAATACCCCTAAGGGCCCTTATCATGGTCTCTCCAGTAGTCCATGGAGAGCTGCAGACCCAAAAAGGGAGAGGGGGGGGGGGGGACAGGTAGTTCAGGGTTTAGGGTTTAGGGTTTAGGGTTTAGGGTTTAGGGTTTAGGGTTTAGGGTTTAGTAGAACCCTATACCGTGAACAAAGAGGTAATATACCCAATGACTACGAAGGCGCTCGAGGCAAGCCTTGCTTGGGTCTTACTGGGGGTTCAGGGGCTAACCCTCAATGCCGAAACCCCAAAGCCCAAAACCCTAAACCTTAAACCCTAAACCTGCACCTCAACCTTAAACCCTGAGGGTTTCAGGGTTTGGGGCTTAAAGTTTCAGGTTGTGTGGGGCTTTGATACCCTGTTTTTTTTTTTTTTTCCCCCGGGGGCGCTGTAACCCTTCTACACTGTGTGTCCCTGCTGCCGGTCTCCCTCTTTTGGCCGGTTCACCCTCTGGGACCCCAGGGGTGGTACTAAGGACTGGTGTGTCACGGCTTTTGTTTTTTTGTCTGTCTTGTTTTTGTTCCTTCTTTTTCTTTCTCTTTTCCTTGCCCCTCTTTCTGTTTTCAGTCCGATGAGCTCCCGGTTGGTGGGTTCCATTGGCGGAGCAGCTGCAGAGCGATAGCGCCGGGTCTCATCTCAGTTGATGGCCCACCCTTCTCCTTCGGCACTTCTTGCGTAGATCGTGGTTGGCATGAACTGGCCCACCACTCAGCCGACTCGCTTTTCGAGTTGTTCCAGCTTGATAGCATGGTTCTTTCAGGTTATACTGAAAGCTGTCACTGCACTGGCGGACACAAAAAAGTGGTGTTCATTGGCTTGTGGCTCCGGCGCTTCCTCTTGCAGAGGGCCAAGGCAGGGTTCAGCTGCACAAGTCGCCTGGAGTTCAACCTGCAGACGCACAAAAGGCCGATTGTCCCGAGAGAACTCGAAGGTTCGCAAACTAACTACTTGCAACCAGGACAAAAATCATAGCCACGTCTTGAGGAAGGATCCAACACAGTGTGGAGTTTGTCCGTCGTGCTGAAGCTGGTGAGTTTCAGGTCCCCCTGGGGTCCCACCTTTACAGTGGGGACATCAATCAGTTCTTCCCTTCTTGTGAGCACGAAGGCTTGCTCCAAGCGCAGGCCCAGCTGCTCCAACAAAGGCGGTATCCTCACAAAGCCACGAACAGCTTCAACTACATGGCCCGCCTCTTACTCCAGTCGCAAATTGCTTACGCCCCGGAAGTTCCAGGATTCTACAGAAGGAAGAAAAGCGCGGCGCTGGGTGCTTCTCACGCTTCAGAGGCCTGTGACACCTACGTCGTGCTCAACCACGACCAGGTCTTCCTCACTCCAGGGTTGCTCCAGGGGATTGCTTGGGGATTGCTTGGTTCTTGCTGTTCAGGGGTGATTGCCTTTTCTGCGCGCGCCCCAGCTGCATGGGCGCAGCAGCAATCCACCCCGCACAGGAGCTATACGAAGCTCGAGGCTTCAACCTTGTCCTGGAAATTTCGGAGATGGACAGCGATAATGCCGTATGGTTAGACCTACGCATTCGCATCAACCAGGATCGTGCGCTGGCATTCCCAACTCATACCAAGCCGACAAATCTGGGGCAGTATATTGCAGCCGATTCATACAACGCGAAGCAGCGACAAGCTGGCCCAGGGCGGAGCTGCAACGGTATGCCAGAAACAGTGCAGTTTGGGAGTCTGCTCTTCCCCCACTGCGTCGTGTTCATTCGTGTCTGCGCTCGAGGAGCATGACACAACCTTATCCGACCGGCGAGAAGCCATGAGCACAGCCAAACTTGCCCATGTGAGGGGGTAGGAGCTTTTTTCCATGGTGGGACCAAAGCACCTTGCGCCCTCCCGACCACCTCGATAAGTACCACCGGGAAAGCTCCGCGTCCACCTAGCAGGGCGACAGCGGCAGCTGTCATTTTGGAACCTCGACCAGCGAGGGCTGGGATCCATGCTCGCCAGCATGGCACATTCACTTGTGTTTTGATGGGCTGTTGTTGTTTTGTGTTTCTTGGCTTACCCTTTAAGCTTTGGCCGGAGGGGTAGCCTTTTGTTACTTTTGTTAGGCCGGGCTTGTTGTGGCCCTGGTCGATGCTCAACACTCAGCACTCAAATCTCAACCCTTCTAAGCTGTAGGGCTTAGGCTGAACACCAATAGCGTTGAGGGTTGATTAGGGAACTCAGCGCTGCCAGGAGGGTTTGTAGGCTTTATAGGGTTCGCCCTTAGTTCTTGTGGGGTTTCATGCTTTCAGGCTTCAGGGTTTGAGGCTTTGCTTGTGTTTGTGCTTTGCAGTATGATGCACGGGCTGGAGCCTAAGTCTTTTCGCGAGCCCAGACGTCCAAAAGTGACGACGGTTTTGCAAGCCCACACGTCCAGAAGAGATGACAGAGTTGCACTTCGTGAGCCCACCCGTTCAAGAGTGATGACAGTTTCGCGGAGGGCGACGATGGTGCGTAGGCGAGAGCGCGACTCTCCTTGGCCAGCCATCCAGAATGAGGCAGCCACTGCACCGGTCTTGGACGCAGCCATTCTGCAACAAGAGCTGGCAGCAAAGTTCGGTCCTGGAGGCCCTTTCGGGGCCGTGTCATTTCCATCCGCTCAGCCATGCCCTGCAGAACCTGAACGTCGAAGTGCGCGTCAAAGTGCAACTTCTGACAATGTGAAGCGATTTTTCGCCCGCATGGCGAAAGCCCGAGCAGCGGCCCAACACATCGGTGCATGCTTCGATGAGGCACGTTCGGAAGCGAGAGTCATGCAAAACTCTTGCATCGAAAGCATGTCGTGCAAAAGGTACAGGCCTGGAGAAAAACCTATACGGCCCGCAGCGCTGGCACGCTCAGGCCTTTTTTACAGGGGGTTTCCCAGAAAAGGGTGTGCTTTTTGGGAGGTTATAATCAACAAGGATTGAACATATTTTGGCGGGTACACTAGGAGTCCGTATCTAATGCCCATATACCCCACGCCCTAGACCCTACATCCCTGAAAACCTTAAGTTAAACCCCAAACCCTAAACCCCAAATTCTTAAACCCTGAAATCTTTCCGGCGTTTTTGTTGTTGAGTCCCCGCGCGCGCAGCCCAGGAGATGTGCCCACGCACGAGAGCCTCGAGGCGTGGAAGAAGGCGCCTGGTGTGTGGTGCTTGGATTTTGGGTTTTAAAACCCTAAACCCTAAACCCTAAACCCTACAACCTAAACCCTAAACCGTAAACCTTAAACCCTAAACCATGTGGGTGTTTGGGTTGGAAATGGATATTTTGCGCATATCTTTCAAGGGCCTTTAGGTAGGCTAGTCCAGGTAGGGCTTTGGGGGGTAGAAGGTCCCTTTACACCGGATTATCAAGGCTTTTCGAGCACAGGCTTCCCTTAGCCCTGCTAGGGTTTAGGGCTTAGGGCTTAGGGTTTAGGGTTTAGGGTTTAGGGTTTAGGGTTTAGGGTTTAGGGTTTAGGATCAAACTTAAGCCCAAATCCCGCTGAGCACTACAGACATGGCCCAAACCCTAAACCCTCAACCCTCAACCCTAAACCTTTGCCTTTCACCTTCTTCAAACGGTAATCCCAAAACCCTAAATCCCAAACCCCAAGCCCTAAACCCTAAACCCTAAACCCCAAACCCTAAACCCTTGCCTTTCACCTCGGCAGCCTCCAAGCACAGGACGTCCCGTCCCGAGCCTCCATCATGGTCTTGAACCAAGCGTTGCACGCCAAGGCGCGGGGTGATCCCAAGAGCCAAGGGTGAATACCCCATACGCCCTAAACCCTAAGGGGTGGAGGGTTCGAGTTTAGTGTTCGATTGGGGGTTAGGGTATTTATGGGGTTGAGGGTTTCAGCTAAGGTTGGAGGGTTGAGGGCTCACCTGAGGTTAGTGGCTTGCTGGTTCAATCCTAAACCCTAAACCCTAAATCGTTCCTGGCAGGGAAAGAGTATGAATGTGAACAGGGTCCCTTCTGTTTCCCACGATTATAGGGGTTTGGGTTTAGGGTTGACGATTGGATGTCACCGTGTGTGTGAAAGCGAGACACAGAGCATGGGCGGGAGCATGCCTGATCAGAAAGCCTAAGCCCTATAAACCCTAAACCCTACGCCCTAAACCCTAAACCCTAAACCCTAAACCCTAAACCCTAAACCCTCCCCAGGGGAGGCCATAAACCTTAAGTCGATTCCCAGATGCAGTGAGGCCAACGCGAACATTGTGGCCACGAAGGAAGAGATCCAGGCAAGGGATGAGGGTGCTCTAACTTAGGGTTTAGGGTTTTGGGTTTAGGGTAAAGGGTTTAGGATGTTGTAAATTAGGGTTGGGGGTTTATAGCTCCTTTTTGGACATATGGGAGCCCATATGCTTTGATTTTTCTTTGGGAGTTGCCGCTGCTACTCTACAAGACCTGGTCCTGGTTGGCGGACCCTATGAGGTGTTCAGGTGCATCCTAGTGGTGGATTTGTGAGTCTAGGAGGAGAACCTCGCCGGGTTGATTGACCCTAAACCCTAAACCTTAAGCCCTAAACCCCAAACCCTAAACCTTAAACCCTACACCCTAGTTTTTTTACTCTAAACATCCCCAAGCCCTAGTTGAGAGGGGTCTGCAAGGGGCAATGGAAATCATCGCTTTCGAGAGGTTCAAAAAACTGCGCAACACCGACAACTTCCTCCGCCTCTGAAAACTACACCCTAGCCCCTAAACCCTAAACCCTAAACCCTAACCCCAATCCCTAAAGCAGGCATTGCAGCAGCTCTTGCTGGGCAAGGCCGATACCAGCGCCGTGCCCAATTGGAAGGACGTGCGACCAGCATCATCGCGCTTCTGCGTTTAGTTTTCTAGTGTTTAGGTGATTGCGGTTCAGGGTTCAGGGCTCAGGGTTTAGGGCTTAGGGCTTAGGGTTTAGGATTTAGGGTTGCTGGTTGAGTGGGAGGCTTCAGTGGTACTCGGGCACCCAGAGAATCCGATAACCCCATGCCATGATCATACCCAGACACGGCCTCGAATATCAGCTGAGTAGCTGAGTGAGTACACTTTACACTTTTTGGGTTACTGTAATCCCCTATAAAACTGACAGTGTACACATTTTGGGGGCTTATGAACTCAGTAACTAAGTCAGGAAGGTCCCTAGATAAAGAAGCTCTGAGGCCATGAAGCAGAAGAGCAGACCCTTTCCATTCTCAGGCTAAACCCTTTGAAACCCTAAACCATGTAAACCCCATAAACCTTGTAAACCCTGGAAACCCTATAAACCCTACACTTCCTAAAACCCTATAAACCCCAAACCCTAGAAACCGTGTAAACCCTCCAAAACCTTATCAACCCTAAACCCTAATTATCAACCCTAAACCATAGAAACCCTGTAAACCCCTAAACCCTATAAACAAAGATAAGCCCTAAACCCTATAATCCCTATAATCCCTAGCAACCCCAACACCCCAGAACCCTGAAAATTGTAGACTCTAAACCCTATGAACCCCTGAACCCTAAAATCTCTACAAACCCTGTAAACACTATAAACCCTATAAACCCCATGAACCCTCTACACCCAAAACCTCTAAACTCTAAACCCTATACAAAGCCTAATTATAAACCCGCTAAACCACATAAACCCTATACACCCACAAGCCCTGTAAACCCTCTAAACCCTGTAAACCCTATAAAACACGGACCCCTAACCCCTAGACCATCAACCCTCAATCGTGGGGAGGACTTGCACGCCCTCAACGAGGGCCTCATGAAGAAGGCCGACAGATGCTGGGCCGATAGAGTCGGTTTTCTTACAGTTCAGGGTTTAGGGTTCAGGGTTTAGGGTTCAGGGTTTGGGGCTCAGGGTTCAGGGTTTAGGCGATGGTCTAAGATGAAAGTTTAGGGTTTAGGGTTTAGGGTTCAGGGTTCAAGGTTCAGGGTTTAGGGCTCCTCAGTCCCCACCCCCTCCCTAACCAAGGCTATCATAAGGGATCCAGACTCCTATCCCTAAGGTTGTACCCCTAGAGGTTCCCCCAAATCTACTCCTAACATGGCCCTTATACTACCTTAAGGATCTTTAGAAAGGGTCCCCAAAACCCAAGCGTACCAGCTTAAGGGTCCAAGGTAGAACCCCTAGAGGCTAGTTATGGGGTAACGGGGAGGATTATTTTGGATCCGGCCTGCAGGTTGAGGGTTGAGGGAGGGGAGGAGGAGGGGAGGAGGGAGGAGGAGGAGGGGAGGAGGAGGGGAGGAGGAGGGGAGGAGGAGGGGAGGAGGAGGGGAGGAGGAGGGGAGGAGGAGGGGGGGGGAAGGGGGGAGGGGGGAGAACCCCCAAACCCTGTACCTTCAGGAGTTTTGGGTTGGGTGCCCTGGAAAACCCTAATAGAGACAGGACTCCGTCTTTAGGGCTTATAGGGCGTATAGGGCTCATAGAGCTTATAGGGCTTAGGGCTTATAGGACTTAGGGCTTATAGGGCTTACAGGGCTTATAGGGCTTATAGGGCTTATAGGGCTTACAGGGCTTATAGGGCTTATAGGGCTTATAGGGCTTACAGGGCTTATAGGGCTTAGGGCGCTTTA